CGCTCATATTCCAAAACAAAAGCTGCGCTCTCCTTTCTTCTGTCCATCAATCCCAGAGCTAATCCACGGGATGTCAAAACTGTAAGCATGCTGTGCTCGATTCTGCCAGCTTAGAACCACCGACCGGACCAGAGAGGAGGTTCTGAAACAGCGCGGCTGTGTGCGGTCACTGGACCGAGGCTGAACGAACCGAGCTGAAACGCAAAGCTGCTGCCAGGGTGGAGAGTAGTTGTCGCTCCGGTTTAAAACGTTCACGGTTCTGTTCCCCCTCGGAAAACTTGTGCGTGACAACTTTACACTTAGCTTCAACTCTGTTTCTGATGAAAATAGAAAGTTCTGCCGACATTCTTGCTAACTTGTTAGCGCAGCATGTTGTTGTGATCACGTGAGCGCTACATGCTGGATCCAAGCGCTGCTGGATAGAAACACTGGAGCGGAGTCAGTGAACTGCTGGATTGAACTGCTAATATCGGAGCGYTTATATCGGGCATTTTTTATGCAGGCCAATAAAATCCGATACTCATTTTTTGGCTGATATCGGACTGATATCCGATATCGATATCGGATCGGGACACCCCAACAGAAAGTATTAGTTATGTTTAATTACAGGGTTTTTTGGTTTGTACACAAAACATAAACACACGTAGACACCAGGCTGCACAGGGTCACAGCTCGTCAGATCCAAACCCAGCTGTGGACGTGTCTGGGTTTTCTCTGGGTACTGCAGTGTCCTCCCACAGATCATGCATGCTTGGCTAACAGGGACTTTTATGTTGTCCCTAGGTGTGAATGGTTGTTTTAAGTGTCCAGTTTACCAGCCCCTCATTAGGCCTTTTGCACTGCAGGGCCTGGCTGGGCCTGGCTTCAAACCCAGGAACAGCTTGTTTGTATTAACTATATATACACTCACCGGCCACTTTATTAGACACACCTGTCCAACTGCTCATTAACACAAATGTTGCATCAGCCAGTCACATTACAGTAAACTCAATGCATTAAGGCATGTAGACATGACAAAGATGATCTGCTGGAGTTCAAACTGAGCATCAGAATGAAGAAGAAAGATAATTTAAGTGACTTTGAACGTGGCATGGTTGTTGGTGCCAGACGGGCTGCTCTGAATATTTCAGAAACTGCTGATTTACTGGGATTTTCACCCACAACCATCTCTAGGGTTTACAGAGAATGGTCCAAAAAAGAGAAAGTACACAGTGAACGGCAGTTCTGTGGGTGCAAATGCCTTGTTTGATGCCAGAGGTCAGAGGAGAACGGTCAGACTGGTTTGAGCTGATAGAACAGCAACAGTAACTCAAATAACCACTCGTTACAGCAGAGGTCTGCAGAAGAACATCTCTGAACACACAACATGTCGAACCTTCAGGAGGATGGGCTACAGAAGACCACACCACAGACTCACCAAAACTGGACAATAGAAGATTGAAAAATGTTGCCTGGTCTGATGAGTCTTGATTTCTGCTGCAACATTCGGATGGTAGGGTCAGAATTTGGCATCAACGACATGAAAGCATGGATCCATCCTGCCTTGTATCAATGGTTCAGGCTGCTGGTGGTGGTACAATGGTGTGGGAGATTTTTTCCTGGCACACTTTGGGTCCATTGGTACCAACATTGTGTCAACACCACAGCCTGCATGAGTATTGTTGCTGACCATGTCCATCCCTTTATGACCACAGTGTACCATCTTCTGACCATGTCCATCCCTTTACTACCACAGTGTACCATCTTCTGATGGCTACTTCCAGCAGGATAATGCTCCCTGTCATAAAGCGTGAATCATCTCAGACTGGTTTCCTGAACACAACAACGAGCTCACTGTACTCAAATGGCCTCCACAGTCACCAGTTCTCAATCCAATAGAGCATCTTTGGGATGTGGTGGAACGGGAGATTCACATCATGAATGTGCAGCTGACAAATCTGCGGCAACTGTGTGATGTTATCATGTCAAGATGGACTCTCTGAGAAATGTTTCCAGAACCAAGGCAGTTTTGAAGGCAAAAAATGGTCCAATCCAGTACTAGCAAGGTGTACCTAATATATGTGTGTGTGTGTATATATA